CCCGTTTTTTTTTTTTTTTTTTTTTTTTTTTTTTTTTTTCAAATCAAATCGTCAAATTTTTCTTATCATTTCTCAAGTCGAGCTTGAGAAGAACAAGCAATGATTGTTCGTCTAAAAATCAATAATTTTACGGTGAACAACATTCTTGAAACGTTGAAGATGAAAGTTAAATTGAAGCATGAAAGATTGGAAGATCGCAGCGATGGCTAAATAGTCGCATTGTCGTTGGAAATTTCAAGTCGAACCTTTTCTTCTAGCATAAGAGAGCTGCTGAAGCGATTCGAGGACCCTACAACGCGAACAGGCATTCCCGATACGTGGAGTTGGTCCTCGTGATCGATAAGAAGGAATACATCGCCCTCGACGAGAACATGGACAAGGTGTATCAACACTGCAAGGATATCGCTAACATTATTAATGCAGTTAGTATCCTTTTCGAACGAACGTCGTTGTTCAAAAATATCCCAACACCTGATTGCTTTTTGACGAAAGTCAAAACGAAGCCACCGTGAAATGAAACGACTGTTGACTGGCGAAATTCGACAACTTCACGTGAACGATAAATCCAACTTCCAGCTTCTAAACTACGATAACGTCCATCTTCCCTGAAATAATATATCGGATACAGAACGAAGATCCATCTGTGTTTCAGTTGTACATGCCACTGAACATATTCATCGCGTTAGTCGGGGTGCAAGTTTGGTCTGACGCGGATGAAATAACACTGTCTCCAAATGGGGACACCACCCTCTCGAATTTCCTTCGATACAGGAGGGAGAAGCTAGTCCAGGACATGCCGAACGATAACGCTCAGCTGTTGACGTAAGTCAGAAACGAAAATGTCTGCTAGCGATGTTCTTCCTTCAAAGCTGCCTTCAAAAATATAAAATGAAATATTATATATATATATATATATATATATGTACGTATGTATGTATGTACATATGTATGTACGTATGTATGTACGTATGTATGTATGTATGTATGTATGTATACAAAAAGTTTGGGTACATGTTTTGTGTGAAATACATCAATCTTCTAATATCGATACATATGTATAATACAATATTATATAATTATAGTTTCCTTGCCTTATGTTATAGAATATTTTGATTGTATATTGTGAATGTACTATAATACCTTGTACCTTATGTACTATAATACCTTGTACCTTATGTATTATAATACCTAAGTACCTTATGTTATAGAATATTTTGATTGAACATTGTGAATGTACTATAATATACATATACATGTACTATAATATATTGTAGTAAACATATATACATATATAATAGTATGGTACATGTACATTAGCGACATAGTATTATAGTAACTATAATAACACACAGACACAGTTATATATGTATGATGTACCTGTTATTGCATAGTATGATCAAAAAATATGAATAGAAATATTAAACAAATGCAAATGCAGCAAGAGTGTACCCCAACTTTTGACCAGTATTTTGCATAACATGTTAATGAAAATATAAAAGAAAAATATGAAATACTTGTAGCCGAATCACATTCGAGGGAGGCGTGGTTGGTAAAGCACTTAAGGGACCAATATGTACGTATGAATTCTCCGGTGGTGTCTCAATGGATCACTCGAATGTCGTAGGATTAGTAGCAGCCACAGTGGCTCATGAAATGGGTCACAATTTCGGCATGGAACACGACTCGGCAGATTGCGAGTGCCCCGAGGAAAAGTAAGTTTGTCCCGCTTTTTTGTTTGGAACGGCGTTCCTCATTTGGTAGACGCACGTTCGGACGCGATACGCCTCTGTTATCGAGGAAGCTACCATTTTAGGAATTACCAGCTGTTATCTACGCTCGGCTCGTTCGTTTCTTAACTCATTAAAACCGGACGGATACTGATGTGAATGTAGTCGCACGAACGTGTTCGTTCCATCGTGTGTGAATTTCACTCGTAGACGAAGAATTGTCCTATTGTCTGACAAATGTGATTATTTATTGGCAAGGAGAATGGTAAATTCTAGAGAAACGCAGTTGGTGTCTGTAACACGTTTTTTTTTTATTTTTCTATTTATACTGGTCGATGTTGCTTCTGCAACGATTCACATCTTAAAACGTATCAAATTTTCTCCCTTTGCTTCGATATATCTTTCCCTCCGAGGTCACAAGAATTCTCGAATCAATTATTATAGATCCCACGGGTCTTTCGCCTATGAGACAGTGCCATTGATCTGCATTGGCGCAGGATGGCGTCATTACGATCACCGTCATTTTCGCTAGAGCAACGGGCCGGGGTCTAAACACGCTCGATTGCATCTGATTACAGATGTATCATGGCATCGTCGAGCGGTTCGCTGGGACCGACGCACTGGTCCACTTGCTCCCTGGAGCATCTGGCTCTGGCGTTCGAGCACGGCATGGATTATTGTTTGAGAAACAAACCGCAGAAGCTGTTCGATAGCCCGATTTGCGGTAACGGATTCGTGGAACCTGGCGAGCAGTGCGACTGCGGCCTGAAGGAGAACTGCGACAATCCTTGCTGCAACGTGACCACCTGCATGCTGCATAGCAACGCGAGCTGCGCCACCGGCGAGTGTTGCGATCTGAAAACTTGCCGGCCGAAAACGGCGGGCACCGAGTGCAGGAGCGCCGAGCACGAATGCGACCTGCCGGAATACTGCACCGGCCAGAGCGAATACTGCCCCGTCGACGTGTTCAAGATGGACGGTGAATCGTGCAGCATGGGGAAAGCGTTTTGCTACCAGGGCTCGTGTAGGACTCACAATGACCAATGTAAACTGTTGTGGGGGCCGACCGGCACATCTTCCGACGCCCAATGCTACGAGATGAACAATAAAGGCACGAAGCACGGCAATTGCGGTTACAACAGAGTCGAATCCAGCTACGTCAAGTGTACCGACGAGTAAGACGACGCATGATCATTTATTTGCTTGTCTATCTCGACGGTCTTTGCCTGGTCCGTCGAGAAAAGATCGATTCTTAATTTGAAAGATGAAAAAGACTTCGAGTGAGAGAGATAGCACGGATTATGCTAAGTAATAATCAAAGACATTGGCCCTTTGTGTTTTAGAAATCTTTTGTGCGGAATGCTTCATTGTAAACACCTGAACGAAAGACTCGAATTCGGTATGGAGTCCGTGGCGATTCTCAGCCATTCGTTTATCAACAACGGAGGCAAGATCATACCCTGTCGCTCGGCTATTGTGGACTTAGGATTGAACCAGGTAGATCCTGGCCTCGCTCCGGATGGTGCCAAGTGCGCACCTGGAAAGGTAACAGAAAGCTTCGGAGATTTTTCAGTTCAGTAATAGAAAGCAATAGAAAGAATTTCAATCACATATTTCAAAATTACTCTCGCATAGAAGATGAAAAGATGAGGTGGGAAAACCTAACCACACCATTCGAATATTGGAGCATTCAGGATAGTGAAGGACACTGAAAGTCTCTATGCTAGAAGAACTTCTACCAATGCTATTTCTAACGTTGAAATTTTCTGATTTCGATTTATTTAGATGTGTGTGAATCAGAAGTGTATGCCGGTGGCCGATTTGCGCGCTTCCGTATCCGGAGGGAAAGCGTGTCCTAATAATTGCGGGGGCAACGGAGTGTGCAATAGCCTCGGCCATTGTCATTGCAATCGCGGCTTCCGGCCACCTGATTGCACCCAACCTGGCGTGGGTGGGTCCGAGGACAGCGGTCCGGCGGAGGATCCAAACGGTAAGTTAATCTCGTTCAATTGGTCGGCGATCAGTCAACGATATTACCGACCTTGCCTAAGTCTAAGTCTAATAAACTAATCTTCCACTCTCGTTCGTCTGTTCGTTGCAGCGAGAAACGACTTCATAATGGCCCTGTACATTATCTTCTTGGGGATCGTGCCGATGATCGCACTGTCCTCGTTCGGCATCTGGTACGTGAGAAATCCTGGCCAGCACTGGAAGAAGAGCATGATGTCAACGTACGTATCCAATCTCGACCGCGTTACAGAGAAATGCAAACCGCATGCCTTTGCGTCGCGCGGTGCTCGTAGGTCGAATCCTCGTAGTCACAGGCTCGGTAAAAACTTTTACGAAAGGTTCGTCATTTTCTTCTCACCTCGGCGAGAGGGTTCTCGGAACTCGGATAGAATATTCACGGTCAGCGACAATCTTCCGCCGAAGGAGAAGCTTCAGATAACTAAGGCCGATCTGATATCGACCACTAACCCAGACGCCATTAACTGCAGCAACAGCATCGCGATGAGAAAATCGATGTTGCTCGGCAACGTGGATCAGAGCGTCGGCAATAAGAAACCCGACGTCTCTGGCTCCGATCAAACTGCTCAACCTTCGTTCGTAGAGGGCCAAGCGAGGAAAAATTCCATTAGGACGGAATTAGGGACGAAAATAGCGGAACGTATTCAACAGATGCAGAAAAAGCCCACGAAGAACATCAAAGGGCTGACGCTTAAAACGGAGGTGAAATTCGAGCATCTGAACGAAAGTCCGAGTAATAGTAGCACTGGCATTACGCCAAGGACAGGTGACCCCTTAGTGCCCGATAAGAAGCCATACTTAAAGGCACCTGCTCCCTTTTACAACAAAAAACCGCCACCTCCGCCAGCTCCCGCTCAAAGTTTGAAACCAAAGATTTAAACTCTTTTCCTTTTATCCCGCGAACTGTCTTACTCGAGTTCTCGCATTCTTTTGTCCGTCATGTTTCTCCTTCACTTCAGTTGTGTATCCCCGTTCCTAGCCCATTGGTGACCAAACGACGAAATAATTCGTGAAAGTTGCGACTTTGGTCCTTAATGGGTTAGTTTGGAATGTCCTTTTTTTTCTTTTAGTGCGAAGGTCGCAGCAAAATTTTCACACGAGAGAGCTATGACCTTTGCATTATGGCGTACAGGGTTGAGAATAGCGGTGGCGGTTAATTCAATTGAATCGTTTCGTCAAATCGTTGCCAAAACGATCTTAAGAAGCACAACTGTGATTTTTAAGTTGTATAACGTTGATTGCAATAATACGAATACTCTGTCGCAGGGCTTCTTCCATGAGGATAGAATTTATGTATTTAATCTCCGGGCACCGCGTAACCCCTGAGAAAAAGTCCTGCCATTAGCACGTTTGCTGTGCACGTTTTAAACAGAGCACTCCAATAATATTTTTTTAAATGATCGAGCAGAAATATATAATTTTTGTTTTATTTGTAACGTAGATATCGAGGCGAATATTTCGCGTGCAAGTGATTTATTTATTCACTTGAAGATCACAGGGAAGGAACGTGATAAGCAAGATTTCCTATCTTTTTACTGCCTTGTCGATCAATCTCAATTATCATTTCATTTAGTTTTTTTTCATACTCGTTAAAATTTGGAAAATATATTTTACTCTTTATAAAATATAAAAATATTATTCGTCTTAATTATATATCTTTTGTTTCCACAAAACTTCATCAACTTGTTATTTTTAAACGTTTACATCTTTGAACCTAACAAGTTCATCTTCATTTTCAATTATTCATTGTCATAAAGTTAGGAAGTCGAGGAAAATATAAGCGCCCGTCGTGTCCTTCTCTTGTGATCCTCATTTATTATTATTATTTCACGCTCAAGCAATTTACATTATGTGACGTAATATAATTTTAAACTGTTACATGTAAATGCAATTCAAGGTATGCATATTACGTCATGTGGTAGTATTGTCGAAAAATAGGTGATAATAAAATAGAACGAGAACGGCTCTCTACTGATTCAGACAACGTGAACAAGCGATACTTTGCGATATCTGTGGCCAATTAATTGCCACATTATTTAGTCAATTGATATATAAACGAGCGAAATCACGTTGCAAAGAGAAGTTGAGAACCGTAATATAGAGCATGCATAGAAAATTAATGTTACACAAGCATGAGCATGTGTGAGTTTCTTTTCGATGGCTTTTGCATTTTAAGATTACTCGTCTCAGATTGCTCGTCATTTGCAATGGAGTTGATAAAATCAGTATTAACGGTCACATACGATGATTTTAATGATTCCCGATTCAACACTTACATATAACTCGACGTTTGATATATTTTAGCGAGCAATCGTTCGAATTATTCAGATATTTCGAGCATCACAACATACGAAAACCACACGAGGGAAGCACGACGAGTCCTTTTTCATTGTCTTTCTGATTTTTTTCTAAAACTAATACTCACAGTAAGTAAATACTCACAGTCAATTTTGTACAGAAAAATCTAGTGTTTCAACAATTGATATTTTATGAAATATCAAACTGAGAGAAAAATATCTAATCGTGCAAAGTCAAGTAAAAAGATAGATTATCGGGATTGATCGGCAACATAACGAATCTCAAAACGATCGCTCCGTAAGAAAGCAGAAAATACGACTTAAAATGCTGTCCCCCCGTGGTTCTCGAAATTGTTCACACACCCGAACGGATCAATTGTATAAGTTTATTGAATAAACGTAGTGTTTCATACAGAATCTACAGATTTTTCTTATGTAATCAAGAATCTTCCTTCCTCCAGAGGGCTTGCTACTAACACTTTAATCTTTGACTAACTTTCCCTGCAAGTGTTACCGCATGCGTTCGAACGATCTCCGCGTCTGAATGATTGCGTTTGTCGGGCACGAATCTGTTTCTTCATTACAAAGCTGCATGTGGATTGCACTGTGTGTTGCGATGCGAGTCAGGGTAAGACTGGGTTCTTAGAAATCAGAAATCAGAAATCTTGGTTTGTGGTTTGACTGTAGCGTGTGCTTTGAACACCTGGATTCCCCCCAAGCTTACGATTGTGCTTGAAATTTTCAGGACCGATCGCGGCCACAACGGACTGTCCATCAAAACGATCGATCGTTCCAGTCCCTTGCCTCGTAACATCGAAACGATCGATTCTAGTCTCAGTCAGGATCCAGCGTGCGCGAGTCTGTTGCCGAAAGCGGACACCGACGAGCGTTACAACAATAATTTGTTCGGCCAGTTCAAAGGTTTCACGATAACGCCGATCAAAAGCCGGCCGAAGAGCCCCGAGCCGAGCAAGCCAGCGCCTCCTCCGCCCACGATCCCGACAGTAGCTATTAAGACTAACATCAAGACAGTCCCGAAGAGTAACCCAGCGCGTAGCTCGTTGCTTAATTGCACGACCAGTTTCAACGAGGTGTCGTCGACTGCGCCAACTCTGCCTCCGTTGAACCCAGGATGTACAGCCCGTCCTCTGATCAGCAGCCCGGTACTGGCTGCGACCACGTGCACCTCTGTCGAACTGGTGGCTCCTAAAATCGTTGGCAAGACTGTCGTAGACGGTCCAACGAGACCAGCACCGGCACCGCCGGTCTCTGCTGACATTCAAAAGCCGCAGAGACCAAGCAGTACACCTCTGGCCAATCTGCTAATACCGGAGGCCGAGAAGAAGCCAGAGAAGGGCAGCGCTTTGAACAGAATCGCTTCGATGCTACGGCCAAATTCCGGGATCTTGAAGGTAGGTGTGCAGATGTCGCAGAAGGACGAGAAGAACACGAATTCCCTGCCCAGAATCCATCACAAAGCGAACAAGGTGATGGACAAAGAGATCTTGAGGAACTTGGAAATTTCGAATCCCATCCCTCAGAAAGAGATAGAAATCCCTACGTCGGTTATCCCTGTGATCCCCGTGGCGGACGCAGAGAGGAGGAACGTCGTGCTGCGAGCACAGTCCATGAGGGACAGCAAGGTCACTCCGAGGCCCGCGATCCAGACGTTCGGATCGATGCGACAGACAACCCCCGTCAAGAGACCCACCAGCATTCCCGCGAGCACAAGGCCCACGGCGCCACCCCCGGGACCTCCGATCCCCACAACGACAGATAAAATCAACGAAACTGGAAAGATCCCTGGACTACCCGGGTATCAGACACCGCAGATAAAGAACCCGCAGAAGCTCGTGGACAACGTGTACGACGACTGCATGAACCTCATCTCGGACTCGTCGTTGGCCAAGATAACCGAGGAGTCCCCAACCAACGATAATATATACGCAGTCATAGAGGAGACTCTTCCTGAGAAGAGCAGGAAGAACACGGAACTGGACAAGCAGATGGACAACGAGTACAAATTACCGAAACGCGTCGATTCCACGGCCGTCAATTCCGGCGGATTGGAGTCAATGGGCCTGCTGTCGGAGATCGTGTCCGAGATATCGAACAGAAACTTCGACTCGATATACTCGACGGCCACGTTGTCCAGGAAAGCGCAGGAGAACGAGGGCACGTCGAAGAACGCCGAGGAACCGGGTTACAACGGTTCGCTCGGCACTTACATGAACTCGAGCCACTATAAGTCGCCAGGTGGTAGCATTTACTCGAACTCCGCGTCTGGGAAATTCAACTCGTCGAGTTCGACGACCAGCTCCGGTTACCTGAATCCATCCGCGTTGAACGTGCCGCGACAAGAGCCTGAGAAAGTCGCTGACGCGAACAAGCCTAAGGACAAATCGCTGTCCCTTTGCAGTCCAACGAACGCGAATTTGAACAACGAGATATCGAAGGAACTGGGTATGAAGACCACGACGGAGGACCACGCCGGGCCTCGTAAACCGATTCTGTCGGTGAAAAGTCGGCCGACTCAACGAACCGTCGCCAATCCGAAAAACGAGGAAGGGCTGAACGAATGCAAGGAGCCGCCGAAACCGCCCCTCGGAAGAACGAAAACGCCACCGAACATCGCGAAAGCTTCGAAAGACGCGAATACCACCAAGCAAGGTTCAGACACCGCGTCGAGGTCGAAACAGTATTCTGACAGTAGTTCAAAGAAGCAGGGATCGAACGCGAGCATGGACATGGCCGGGCCGAATTCGGACGCGAGGAGTGGCAACGGGAACCAGTCGAACGACAACCCGGAGAAGCAGGATTCCCACGCGAACGTAAATAGATTATCTCTGAAAACTGTGCCTTGTAGTCCTAAGGATAACGGGGGAAAGTTTAACAGTCCGGACTTAGTGTCGAGCTGTTCGAATTCTAATCAAATCAGTACAAAGTCGCCGGACGTCGTAGGAAACAATACGAAGCTGAATCCTCAGCCGAAGAACGTTCAAAAAACGCCGACGTTGTCGCGAGGCAGTGCCAATGCCGCCAAGGCACCCGCCACCCCGATAAAACCATCGAACATTGCGTCCAAAGGAACTAGTCTCGCGGAGAAGAAGAAGTCGCCGACTGGTAACGCCAGCTTGAGCAAGTCGTTGGCCGCGAAGGAGCCCGCTTCGAAGGGCTCGCAAGCGAAACCGAGTTCCAAGACGGAGGCGACGAAAGATTCAGGGGCGAAGACGAACCCGGTGCAAAGAGCGGCGAGCAGTAAATCCAACGTGGCCTCGCTTCAACAAAAATTCGAGGCGAACAAGAACGTCAACGCGCCAAGGACGATAGCCAGCGTGCATAAAGCACAGCGTACAGTCGGCAAGACTGAAACGTCGGGTGTTAAAAAATAGACGAGCAGCAGAACACTCTTGCACAATAATAATAAGTAATAATATTAGTAGATTGACAAGTCACGCGCGATAGATTGTAAGAATTTTTCTCTCAGTCGTGTTACGATATCCTCTTTTTAACCGCTAGCTGATATTAGAAATATCAAAATAGATTTACCTTTCCTTTTTTAATCATGTTTCGACCGACTTGAATGTAGAAGATTCGTTCGAAACGTTTTGATTCGTTTTATTATTATTACCAACTTGTTGATGCTGTGCAAATATATTTATTGCTAGTGTTAAAAAAAACTCGTGACTTGTGGGATTTCACTAATAATGTTACCACAATTGGGCAAGATGGACAACCAGATGAAAGAAGTTTATAGGGTCTATTTAAAATATTCTAGTCTATCGATCATCCGGATGGAAACGCGCGAATCTGCGAGAGATATACGAAACTTCTCTGTTCAGATATTTCTACGATACTATTTTATTTAAAAGACCAGCGCGAGAATGGAGTTGTAATAGTACAATGATCAACCGTTCGCTCGGCGAAGAGAAACCGAACGATAGAGCTGGTTGATCGAAAGCCACGCAAACTTGTATTTACTGTCAGAATACTGAAATTAGGTTGTACCGACTGCGC